CTGAGCTATTAGTTAAGTTCTCCCAAAGCAAGCTTGATGGGCCGAATGGCCTCCTCTCGTGTGTATAGTTCTTATGTTGTTAAAAAAACTAATATTCAGTTGTAAATGTAGATTGGATTCAAGCAATTGATTACTTTCCTGCTTTTCTTTTCTTTCGAAATCAATTCACTTTGCAAAAGTTTACTAGCAAAAGTGTCTGCATTGGTTGAGAGTAAATTTATGGGAAAAGCTTGCAAACCATTTTTTTTGTGAGAGAGTGTGTGGATATCTTATTTATTGCATTCTATTAAAATGCAGCAGCAGAAAAGTAATTTTTCCCTTGGAGACCAATCAAGTCAGCTCACCAACCACTATCCATGTTATTTCATTAGAGCCATTCATTCATTCTTTTTCTACACTGCTTTATCCGGTACTGGGATTCGGGGTTCCAGAGCCTATCCCAGAAATAACAGCATGGCAGGGAATAACCTAAGACGGGGAACCAACATATGGAAGGGGACACACACACACACACCATTCACACATACATTCACACCTATGGTCAGTTTTGAGAACCTGCAAGCTCCACACACATACAGCTTGGATGGGCAGCTCCTGCACCAATTTACATCACTTTAGAAATACAGTGCAGCCAAAGATTATTTGTACACTGTGAAAAAATGGTCAAAAATGGAAATAAAATTTAGGATATTGATTGTGAAATTTTATGACTTTTTTCCTCAATGCATTGTGTATTTTATCAGTTTTTACCATGTTGGGAAACTCAACTAACCCTAGAAAAGTTTGTGTGAAGAATGACCACCAAGGCGGGAAACTAAGGGCGTCCAATTACCTGCCTATTGGAACATCTGCTGTTATGTGTTAAATGATCTCTACTATGACTGGGAATTACCCCCATTGTCACGTATTCATTCAGCTCTATGATTGGCCAGGTGTACAAATAATTGTTTGAAAGTAGTAAATTACATTATTTGAAAAAAATTTCAGAATATGTTTAGAATAAAAGTTTTTCTGGTTTCTTTACATATCACACATAGCTGTAACATTTTAGACAGTTTTTAAAGTTTGTCCTTCAATATTCTCAATTTCATATCCATTTTTTACCATTTTTACAGTGTGCAAATAACGTTTGGCTACATATATCATGAAAAACAATTAATGTAAAATTCACATAAATATAATATACTGTAGTGTTCTTTGGAGTGAATAACATTTAGAGTAACAAAGGATTTTTTGCAAACTTCCCATAAAAAATTCCATTTATGCTGATAAAATTTATGTTATAACGGTAACTTATTTTTTAAATATGATGCTATGTGTAAAGCTGTAAAACAAACAATCTAAGATCTTCATATTCCTAAGAATATTTTTGGTAAAATTACAATGTATATTTAAAGAAAGCTTAAAAGATAATGGTTAAAAATGCCAATAAATGCCATTACCTGGTCTCTGTAAGTCTGATGGGTTTCTGTTTTTCTGTCCCTATTAAAATGATTCTTTGTGCCTCTGATAGTGAGAGTATCTACTTTAATAACAGAATGTTCTGGAATGCCTCTGGGCATACACAGAGCTATGTATGTAACACAGAATATGCATATTGTTCTGCTCACTTTGTTCTGCTTTCTGGTTCTTTCAGGAGGTGGAAGAATATTTGCATGCTTGACTAACTGAAAGTGAAGGAGTGTCTGAAAGGACTATAGGTTAAGGA